AAAGAGGAGGAATTCTACAGACAACTGGAATCAACACTAGACAAGACCTCAGTTGGCGGCATTAAAATCCATTCTAATAGGCGACATGAATGCCGAACTGGGAGCGGACAACACAGGAAGAGAACTAACCATGAGCCGAGAAGCACTCGGTCAGGTGATGAACGAGAATGGAGAATTGTTTGCTGAATTCTGTGCATTAAACAATTTGGTGATTGGAGGCGAGGCAGAGTGTTCAAGCATAAGGATATCCACAAAGCAAGCGACATGGATTTCACCAGACACCAGGACACACTACACTAAAAATCAGATCGACTTTATCTCAATCTCAAGAAAATGGAGACGCAGTCTACTTGACACAGGGTCAAGAAGAGGAGCAGATGTAGGTTCACACCACTCACCATCTAGTGCAAGGAACCTTCCAAATCAAGTTAAAAGCCTTCAAGGAAGCTGGTGATAGACCTCAATTCAAGTACAACACCCGGAAACTGAAGGATGAAACTACAAAGGAAATCTTCACGGCAGCCAGCCATCAAGACAAAATGGGAGATATCGAGGAACATCCGTGAAGAAACCTGTGTGGAAGAACACTGGGAGTCTTTGAGAGAGATGTGGAAAGAAACCTGCACAGCGGTATTAGGAAGGAAGAAGAAAGAAGATAAGGAATGGATCTCGATGGATACCTGGAAGCTGATAGAGCAGGGAGAGGAGGATGGTGAAGTAGAAGATAAACCAATGCAGTGCAAGGATGCTCAACGACAAGAGGAACTGAGTACAATGTATAAAACACTTCACGGGACAAAGAAGTGAAGAAGAGTGCACACAAAGACAAAAGCACTTCCACGAAACACTGGGAAGTGAAGCAGAACAGGCTGCAGGTAGGAGAGACAGAGACCTGACAACATTGTATCAGATAACCAGGTTACTCTATCTGGGAAGAGACCAGCGCAGACGAAACCAATAAAAGGTGATGACGGAAATTCAATTACGAAAGAAGAGAGAGAAAGGAACCGATGGGCCGACCACTTCAAGAAGCTCTTGAATCGACCACCACCTGCACTTCGTCCACAAATACCACCTGCAGCCCAGCCACAGAACTACAAGTGAACATAAATCCTCCAACAAAAGTGGGAGTTCTGAACGCCATAAAGCCACTGAAATGTGGGAAAGTAGCAGGACCAGACGGAATCCCACCAGAAGCACTGAGAGCAGACGCAGAGACAACACCAGACATGCTCACACCACTATTGCAGAAGGTGTGGAAGGAAGAGAAGGTACCTGCCTATTGATTGGAAGAAGGGTTACATTGTCAAACTGCCGAAGAAGGGAGACCTCAGTGTTTGCAAGAACTGGCACGGAATCACTCTCCTGTCCACCCAGAGCAAGCAAAATATTAAGCCGCATCATCCTGGAGAGGCTTAAGGATGCGTTGGATTCAAAACTACTACCGGAACAGGCAGGCTGGCTTCAGGAAGTACTAATCATGTGCGGACCAAATTGCAACGCTACACTACGCATCATCATAGATCAGAGCATAGAATGGCAGTCAGCTCTCTACCTCAACTTTATCGACTTTGAGAAGGCCTTTGATAGCGTCGACCGAGAGGTAATTTGGAAACTGCTTCAATACTATGAAATACAGCAAACCTTTATCAACCTCATTCAACAACTATATGAAGATGCTACATGCCAAGTAATTCACAATGGGAAGCTCAGTGACGCCTTCGAAGTGAAGACAGGAGTAAAACAAGGCCATCCACTATCATCCATGATATTTCTGATTGTGGTCGACTGGATCATGCAGCAAACAGTGAGGAGCGAGAAGAGGAGTATACACTGGACCAGGGAAAAGATCCTAGAAGATTTGAATTTCGCCAGTGATGACTTGTGTCTGATGTCACACAAACTTTAAGATCTACAGGCAAAAACTAACAAGTTGACAGAAGAGGCAGGGCAGGGCAGCGAGGGGAGACGGGACTTCAGGTGAATATAGAGAAGACAGAGGTGATGAAGATACCCAACCAACAATGCAACAACAACAACAACAACAAACTTCAATCACCATGAACGGGAGAAACCCTGAGGGAAGTAACCTCCTTCACCTATCTAGGCAGCACTGTTTCAACTACAGGCAGTGGCACAGGCACAGACGAGGATGTTAAAGTCAGAATCGGAAACACAGCAAGACAGGTGTTGATTAGCCTGAAAGCAGTGTGGAGATCTTCTGCACTCAGCATAAAGCGTGAACAGGATCCGGATTTTCAACACCAATCACGTCAAGTCAGTGCTACTACATGGTTCAGAGACTTGGCACGTTACGAAATGGATTTCCAACAAACTACAGACATTCATCAACGACTGCTTACGCTGGCTCGCTACTGAAGATCAGATTGCTAGAAAGAATGGGCAACAGGGAACTGTGGCTGTCAACGAGCCAACCAAGAGTCTATCGCTGAACAAATATGCACTGGAGGAAGTGGAGATGGATTGGGCATACACTGAGAAGGCCGACTGGGGACATCACGCGTCAGGCCCTCGAGTGGAATCTCCATGGGAAGCGACGAGTTGGACGTCCGAGGGTGACATGGAGGAAGTCGCGCGAGGAGGAAATGAGAGCTTGTAGGCTGTCGTGGTGGCAGGTTGAAAAGATTTCAGAGAACAGATTTCACTGGAGACGTGCTACTTTAGCCCTATGTTCCATTAGGAACCCAAGGGACTAATAAATAATAATAACTAACGACGTTTGTAATATACACACAAGTCTACTGCAAACATTCTACAGTCACAAGTTGAAAGAGCTTTAAGGTTTGATTTAATGAGTGTTCACTCGAAGATCCGACGGTGATAGTGCTGAACCCGTTTCAAAAAAGAAAGAAATAGATGTGCTTCGTGACTTGGAGTTTGTTTTTCTTCCATGCTGACTTGTACATCCAGTTTAAAGCATCGTGATGATGGATACATGACACATTTACCATGTTGAAATCAGAACGTATTAGCTTGATAGTAGATCCAACCCAGTTCACTTATGAATCAGAAAATCAAGAAGAAGAATTCAATATGTTAAACTGCAAAATCAAGAGGAGAGATGGAAGCTTGAGTACCAGTGTTTATGGGAAACTAACATATTCGAGTAGATACTTAGATTTCACATCACATCTGTCAAGGTAGGCTAGATAAAATGTCTAAGTAATCGGGCTAGAAGAGAGGGCTCAAAGCCTTTGCTATGTTACCATACAAAGATGGCACCTCAAGAGGATTATGGAGAATTATCAATAAAGTTGGGATTAAAGTGGCATTTAATCCAAAAAACTAGCTTAGAAACAAGCTTTGTGTGTTAAAAGATCCTATCGATGCAATTAGTCAAAATAATCTGGTTTACAAATCCCTTTGCTGTGATTGCGAGGTCAAATCATAATTCAAATTAGTCGACCAGGGTTGATTAGAATAACAGAACACAAAAAATTAGTTAAATCAAGATTAGTAGATCTTAATGAGATAAGAAATTTAGAGAAAAGCTCGGGTATAGCTCTGCACTCAATTACACATAATCACATAGTAGGGTGGGATAGAACGATAGGTTGAAAACTAACTTAGTTGGGTGGAGAGAGACAGAGAGATTGATAACCGATTGAATCTTTGTTTATCAATCGACACCGTATACATGCGGCAATCGAAATGATTCTCACCTGTCCCAGTTTATGGAAAATTCTACTACCCTTATCATCACAGAGAAGGAGAGAAAATTAGGAGTATATATATATATATATATATATATATATATATATATATATATATATATATATATATAAAGTCTGTCTCGAAGTTGTGGGGTTACCTGGTGGGTTACCTGGTATGAATACCCAAGATGGAATTCAAACCCACTGTAATGTTGCCATATAAAGAAGGCACGTAGGATATTTTACGTAGAGTTTTTAACAGTGTCAAAATTAAGGTGGTATTTAGACCCACAAACTGGCTCAGAGAGAAACTTTGTAGGTCAAAAAATTCAGTAGACTTAATTAGGAAAAATAACATTATCTGCCAAATACTATGTAATGATTGTGCGGTCAAGCATATAGGTCAAAGCAACCGATCTGGGTTAGTCAGAATAGCATAGCACAAACACTTAGCGAAACACAAATTTGTCGACCCACCTAAGTAATTTAGAGGGAAACTCGGCTATCGCGCTGCATGCGCTGGCCTAGAATCACACTGCAGATTAAGATAGGGTGGCAATCCTAAAATCTAGTATAAGGAGGGAGAGACTGGTAATAGAATCTTTGTTCATTGAATCAACACCATACATATGTAACAGGAATAACTCACTACATATTGCAGATGTGTAGAAAATTCTATCATCATCAAAATAAAAAATTAAGAATTGTTGGACTGTAAATCACATGATTACCTTGATATAAATATGAGCAATAAATTCTGCTTAAAACATCATTCAGTTAATAATACTGTGTGCTATATCAATCCAGTATGAAATTATATCCTACCAGAGTGTCCAAGTTCAACTCTTACATCCAGTTCAAAATGTTCATAATTTCTCACGCGTGCACCGTGAAAGTTCATTAATAAAGGGAACAAGAATTGTGGACGCTAACCGGGTGCACACTGAAATCGATCAAGATGAAATTAGGGAAGAGATAGCTTAGCTAAAAGAGAATGATAGTGGACATTTAGTAGACTTGATTTTTTAAATAAATGAACAGGGAAAAGGATATAAGTGAAGAAGGAACCCACAGATGTAGATTATTTCGATAAGGAAGATTCTGAGGAAGAGAAAATGCATCTGTATCACGACAATTAATTCCAGTTCAAGAGTCTCCTAGAGTTTCCAGGCACCCAAATCCATTACTCCATTACCTCCAACTAAGTAGTTTACAGAGATCAGACTACATAAGAACTTTATTGATATAATATTTAGCTGTTAGTACTTTGATGAAAAATGGATTTCACATTATGTGTAGCAAAACTGATGGCTGGAACGAGCATATTTAACTCATCAATAGATCATAGCATGGAAGACTAACTAAATTATCACTTACTTGATGGCCTAACCAACGTTCACATATTTCAGTTGAATGATTCAACGGTATACCATATTTATCTTTTCTACCTCCATTACAATAAGACGATTCAAAATTGTTTAACTTATCTCTTGGCCATGATTCAACAGGATTCAATCTACTCTCTTCATGAAATCCAGTATCTTTGCAGTAAGCGTTAAAAGCAATTGAAATAGTGAATAATGATTAATAATAATTGAAACAAACACACAAATATAAATCAGTTTCTTTATGCGTTTAATACAATACTTGCAAAGATAAGGTGATAACTTTAAGATGCAGAATACTTATTAAGGCGTAAAACTTGGACACCTTCGTAGAATGAATATTGATTGGTCACTGGAGAGCAACCGATTTGATGTTTTCTAATCCTGAGAGCTGAGTGAATTCTAACGACCATTTTGCAGTGTGGTCTCAAATCTAGGAGACTTTTCACCACGGTACACCGATGAATCCTAGATTGTTAGAGGCAATCGGTAGGAAGCTCTGCTTGACCTAGGTTTTGTGCTTGTTGATACTCGTTAGCAAGGCGCACCTGCAATTTCTGGCGAACCGATTTCCCATGCGAGATTCGAACCCGCATCACCTGCGACACAACCACTAAGCGATTTGGACTACGACTGACTTCCTGTAGGACTGTATTACATGCACTGACTGATCACTGGAGAGCAACCAGTCTCATGTCATAGATACGCCATGCTGACGAGTTTCAGTAAGCACGAAACCTAGGTGAACCAGGGATCCCTGCTGATTGTCTCTAACAATCTAACATCCATCGAAGTGAACTGTGACGGTGAGCCACCTAGCTTGGTGGACAGGTAAAATGATGGATAGAATTCGATTATTACTCAGGACCAGACAACATTAGATTAGTTGCTCCTCACTGATCAGTAAATGTATGTAATTCAATGCTACAGGAGATCAAGGGCGGCCCAAATAGCTCAGTGGTAACGCCACTGACTGCAACACTGGGTGAAGCGGATTCGGATCTCACAAGGGACATCAGTTCCTTCGAGGTTGCAAATGTACTTTACTGACGAGTGCCAAAAAGCACGAAATCTAGATCAGGTAGAGCCTCCTGTCGACCGTCTTCAATCATCTAAAACTATTGCAGAATTTATTTATATTTCAGTTGATTTATTGGATGTATCATACATATCCAACAAGTAATATTGTTTCACTATGTGATACATTTAACAAGTCATCTGAGATGGAATGCCGAAAATGTACTGTTCCACTGGAAGGTATACCACATAGAACCATGGTGAGGGTCTATATTCAGTCAAGATCAATATAATTAAGACTGAATTGAAGATATATGTTTTAACATTTTCGCTGTATTCAAATGTAGAGTTTTAGTAGATATACGAACATGGAAATGATGAATTTATCGAAAATTGAAACTCACTCCTTTCCCCTTTATTCCATCTCTAGACACTTTTCATAAATTGATATAATAGTAATAATATTTATTACTGAATTCACAAGTGCATAGATTACCGATTGAATGACTGCACGACACCATTCACTGGCTTACTTTAACGAATCAACACACCTGAAGTTCACTGCTGACTGTTAGACTTAGACTGAAATCAACCGAAGTGTAAGAACAAGTATTTGTTAATCGCCTCAAAAGATGACTGTTCAGTGTTTCTAACTGGCTGTTTTACTCGAATGTATTTACTAAATAGTGATTAGTCTATTAAGAGGTTGTTGAGTCCAAAATTCTGTTGTAAAGTGAGAAATTGGTAGTCAAACTATGAAACAAGGTGTCAAGCATCCGGTGGACTTCAGATGGCCTTGACTACATAATTAGTACATTATTCTTCTGGTAAAATGATTTTATATTAAGGTGATATATGATGTCATCACGTTTAGAAATTAATGGGCCAAAATATTTGGTTATTTTTGTGTTTTATTCTCTGAGGTTGGTGGTTTAATTGTGAAGCTTCGTTTGGCTTTCTAGACAACACCGTCAGCACCAACTTCAGTATGAAGTCAGCTATCTGGACTTCTTCAGATGTGATTTAGTAGCTTATCCTGACGAAGTAGTGTGTTATTGCCAGTTTCCTTTGATTATTGTGTCTTTGGTATTCTTTGCGTTTCTTCTGACCAAAATCTTTACATTTCCGAAATTAAATTTATGTACATAGATGTTCCAGTGCAAGCCCAATCCATCTCCACTTCCTTCCAGTGCATATTTGTTCAGCGATAGACTCTTGGTTGGTTCGTTGACAGCCAGAGTTCCCTGTTGCCCATTCTTTCTAGCAATCTGATCTTCAGTAGCGAGCCAGCGTAAGCAGTTGTTGATGAATGTCTGTAGTTTGTTGGAAATCCCTTTCGTAACGTGCCAAGTCTCTGAACCATATAGCAGCACTGACTTGATTGGATTGCTGTTAAAAATCCGCATCTTGTTCACGCTTTATGCTGAGTGCAGAAGATCTCCACACTGCTTTCAGGCTAATCAACACCTGTCTTGCTGTGTTTCCGATTCTGACTTTAACATCCTCGTCTGTGCCTGTGCCACTGCCTGTAGTTGAAACAGTGCTGCCTAGATAGGTGAAGGAGGTTACTTCCCTCAGGGTTTCTCCCGTTCATGGTGATTGGTTGTTGTTGTTGTTGTCATTGTTGGTTGGGTATCTTCATCACCTCTGTCTTCTCTATATTCACCTGAAGTCCCGTCTCCCCTCGCTGCCCTGCCCTGCCTCTTCTGTCAACTTGTTAGTTTTTGCCTGTAGATCTTAAAGTTTGTGTGACACTAGACACAAGTCATCACTGGCGAAATTCAAATCTTCTAGGATCTTTTCCCTGGTCCAGTGTATACTCCTCTTCTCGCTCCTCACTGTTTGCTGCATGATCCAGTCGACCACAATCAGAAATATCATGGATGATAGTGGACGGCCTTGTTTTACTCCTGTCTTCACTTCGAAGGCGTCACTGAGCTTCCCATTGTGAATTACTTGGCATTCAAGGACATCACGCGTCAGGTACTCTAGTGGAACCCAGATGGGAAGCGACGAGTCGGGAGTCTGAGTGTGACATGGAGGAGATCGTGTAAGAAAGAAATGAGAGTTTCTGGGCTATCGTGGAGCCAGGTTCAAAAGATTGCAGAGAACAGAGTGCACTGGAGACGTGCTACTGAAGCCCTATGTCCGACTAGGAACCCAAGGGACAAATAGTAATAATAATAATAATACATAGTTGTCCACAACCATTGATACAAGCCACGAATTTCTGTGACATTCAATAGCCAGTTAGTGCTCATGTAAAACGAAGGCGAAGGGCAAAGGGATTAACAACCTCAAGGTCAGACGTCAGACAGAGAAATGGGTAACAGGAAAGTCTGTGAAGTCAATGACACAACAGTCAAAGGAAACTACCAATCACAGACTAGTTCGTCACGACAGGCTACTGAATTACTCACAAAAAGATATCGATAGATCACTTCATACTGAAGTTTGGGTTGACAATGTTGTCTAGAAAGTCAATCAACGCTTCACGACTGAACCATCTAGCTCAGAGGATGAAACACAATTAAGACCATCCACCCGAGTTATAAATATTGTTCCTCATTTCAACACTTGATTATTCACGAAAATTGAATATTTAATAAATGGTACTATTAAAACAAACAGAAATAATATTCCATTTATGAAAAACTATCCAACTTACTGAATGCAGAACACACGAAAAAAACGAAGAACGTAACTAACAGGAAAACTAGAAGTGAACGTAGACACACACAGACATACACACAAACAAACCGATAGACACTATATATCATTCCTAACACACTCAAACACATGAAACAGCAAACACTGGCAATCTACTCAATACTTACAATATCCATGTGTATGCTGTAGCATTAAGGCTAAAATTTGTGTATACTCACTACTTTGATGAGTGGATTGTACAGTATGATCAGTTTGTAAGTTCAAAATCATATTCTCTGATGATTGATTATACATAGTTTTATCCCGTTGAAAATTATTATCTAACTTCTTTGATGTGAATTGGGGTAAAAGTAGAGGATCATCTGTTGAATTCTGTTCTTCTTTTAAATTTGTCATCTTAAAAGTTGGCTTCTTATCTTCATTCCCTCTATTCAAATTAGGTAAAGTTTCATTGAAGACAGCCATCGTTTCCATATTCAACGCGCATACACCACGCATTAAAGCTGTTTTTAAAGCAGCTTGTTCACTGGCTTGTTTTGCTTTCACTGATTCTAATTCACTTTGACTAACTTTTAATTCAGTCTCCAACTAATTATAAAAAACAGAAAATAGAAAACAAGAATATCAGTATAAAAAAAGTATAGAGAAGTAGTTATCAGGCTTTTAGCTAACGTAGTTAAACAAACTAATAACTAAAGACTGTGATCTATGGAAGAATTTAAATTTAGATAATAGAAGATTGAATACGCAATAATGATGAACACAGTTATAATAAAGTTGCTATTTCATGACGTAGAGGTCGATCACTAAAGTAACAGCTGCACAAAATGTGATCAGCAGAGCTAACCATATTGTTACAACGGAAGATGATAAAGGGGAAGAGTTAGAGTCGGTTAGCTGCACACTGAAAGTAAATAATACTGCCAAATATTTCGTAGAGAAAATTTTTTCTAAAAAGAAACTACGAGTGTACTGAAAATCCCTATAAAGAACTGGATAAACACGGTGGTAATCCCAAATCATGAGAAGAGCCTGGAAGAAACAAGAAGGATTCTCAACAAATATTTTCGTGCAACAAACAGTCTACGCTTTAACTGAATGAAAGTTAAAGAAGCAGTACTTAAAGAAAATCAACAGAACTGCGTTTATGAAATTAAATGCGTAGATTGTAATGAAGTAAATGTGGAGCAGACAACCAGGCAGGTAAGAGTGAGGGAGCATAGACTATGTTTAAAGTGGGTTCCAAAAACCTCAGAAGAGGTCAAGAAGCTAGAAAACAAATTGGCAATCGCTCCACACTCTATACAAAGTTGACTTTGATGGAACCAAGGTTCTACAGAAAAGTTTTGGATTACACCATGAAAGATTGACAGCTAAAGCCCCTAATATGTGGGCAAATCCGAATAGTTTGAATTGGTAAGAAGAAAGAGTGACTCCAGTATTTACCCTCAACATCAGACTGAACCTAATGATTTCTGCATAAACAACAACACAATCTAGATCGATGTGATTTGTAATTATTATTGTCACCACCATCAGTACTGCCACTCATTTCCCCGATATTCCGATAAACCAATGCGAAATTCGTTAATACTATTTGTCCATATATATACCAACCGAACTGACATACATATCTACCTGAAATGTCCTATTGTACTTATAAAAATCACCGAATGACTACAATGTCACCTGTGTCCTTTTTGTCTTGTATTTATTTATTTATTATTATTATTATTATCATGGATAACAAAACACATGACCACACACAAGTGCAAACCACACAACAAGAGACAAAACTCCACTCTGAAGGATTAGTAGTCATGGTAATGATAGGCAGTGGCTAGGAGTGGGATCCAGGACCCACGCTTTGTCTTATTTGGGACTCATCAGTTGGATGTACCTGTCTCCCAGTGAGCAATGTTGTTTCCACTGAGAATCGAACTCAGGACTGGTCGATTCAAGCGTCAGACCACAGAGTCATGATAGTCACTTCTTATGTAATGGGTATAGTTTTTTGTTGTTGCTTATAACCACATTTTAGAAAAAAATAACCATAAGAAGAGGATTAGCAAGGAAGTTGACTACATGTCTATGAATTTACTTATGCGCATCATTGATATTTGGATTATTTCAATGAAGAAACCTGGACCGGAATTCCTTGCGAAACGTTGCGATTATTTTATTTTAAATACGCTTTGACTTACACAAATACAAGCTACATCTAATGTAGATTGCAAAGAGATTAAAACAATTCAGTTGATCATCAAACAAAAGATTATGTAATCCACTGTGGAGGTTTGTGGGGATTTCTTGATAGATTTCAGATCGGCATTAATCACGGATTAACATCAGTTGGAGAACCACTGAAGGAAACCTGAAAGCACTAGAAAACCGTTTCGTTCTAGTATAGGGCTCCTCAGCAGCGCGCTACCAAGTAACAGGAATGAGACAAGTTGGCTGGAATAAAATGATTACGTTTTTTTTGTTAAAATTCGCAATTAATAGTGGTTAGCTAAAATGCTTCACATTTTCTGTGTTTTCGGCTTCTAAGAACAATAAACGTCACGGGTATTCATGAACTGAAGTCTGATCTTTGTGTACAAACTAAGTAAGTACAGTCTTTGTCTTTACTTTAGCCCTGATTTCATTTTGTCTTGGTTTGTTTCGCTTCGGTTTTTGACATTGCGCCGTTGTCAGATTTATCTCTACTGTCCTTTATCATCAGCATCATTATTAATTTTGTGTTTTATGATTTCCCGTATTACTTCATTCAGACTTCCAAATAGCTGCAACTTTTAACAAAACCGCTTTCAATAGATCTAAATCAACCTGTCTCATTCACATCACTTAATCCATTGTTTATTGATTACGTCTACAATGTTTTCACTCCTTTGTAATCCAAATTCACCCTCTGAACAATCCAAAAATCTTGCGTAACGTCAGTTTGTTATCATTTAACACCTACATCATCAACTAGCAACATTATTATAACTGTAACCATCATTATTTTGTGTTTTCAGTCTCCCTTATAGATTCCATTCATTAAATGTCATATACATACAAGAATGTACAGCTTCAGAGTTAATTCGTTGAAAAGAATCCTCTTCGTAGAATTTCATGCTTTTAAAAGAATAACTGTAGTAACGAATTCAGTTCATGAAAATGTGGAAACTCTTAAGTTGTCAAATGGTGGTTATTAACCTTTTCATTCCTATTGATTAGTGGTTGCAAAGAAAAAACCCATCACCAGTCAACCATAGAAGTTCCAGATAGAGGAAAGTTAGGATTGTAATCAAAATAAGTCAGTTGAGCAGACTTGCTGAAAAAAATGAACTAAAGGAAGTGATTACTGAATCAAGCTCTAGAAGTTTTGGGTCTACAACTTCTTATAACCACAGTTCTACATATAGCTGCTCTTCTCCATTTGAATGTAGCCTTCGAAAAGTTGATAATGAATAGCTATACTAGTAACCTATCTGTTTCTTAGGCTAACAAAGTCAAGTGGTACTGGAAAAAAGACCAAATTAGAGAGGAAACCTTATCCAAATCGAAAGGTTATGCTTTTTATTGAAACGAAAAACAGAAAACGAAAATGAACTAGGAACCTGATCGATAGATTGAATCTTTTCTGGTACTAAGTAAACCAGTGTGCCTATAAAATATGTGAAATAGCAGTCGAAGATCATTGAAGGCACAGTTTTCCGTCAGGTACTGCTTCATAGTTGTGATAAACGGTTATTGAAAGAGGAAAGCATACTGGCAGAAATTTTGGATTATTCGTTAGGCTAAATAGGATCAGGTGCTAGAAAAACAAATCAGTGCTGGAATTTCTGAGACAGACCTCAAGGGTTTACTTTTCAGATCTACCATGATGTATACTTTTTCTTCAATAACGCATATTATAGACAAGTGCATGAGATTAGAATGGGATCACCATAAGCGATAATCCTCGCAGACTTCTTTCTATCCGGATTACAGAATGAACCACTGAAGGGTAACATCAACAAGGCACACATGCAATGCCAATATGCTAATGATACATTCATTATGACTAATCGGAACCTGGATGATAACGAACTGCTGGAGAAATTCAACAACTTACAAATGCTGACGATTGAAGTAAAAGTGTAAACTGGGTATCCTTTTGGTCACATAGTCAGCCTAGTAGAACCCAAGCCACTGAGATTGGAAGTTTTGCGATGTTGTCTCATCCACACCCAGTTTCTCGCAGCCAAAACCATTACTTCCAAATCACTTGTAATTTTTCTCAGTGTAGACGTTTAGTTTCAAATAAAGAACCTTCAAATAGCGTAATGAGAAGACGAAGATTATTTGAAACATGTGATGTATTAGCGCTATACATTTCGAACAATCTGATCACACATGGACTTGTCGAACTATTTATATGAAAATTTACGAAAAGGTCAATGAAGTTAATAGGAAACATAGGAATAGGAAGGGATAGAAAAGGAAAAGAAAAACTATTCTTGGTATGAAAATTAAAATCAATACTACCAAGGTAGGTTCAACGTGAGTACAAATTGTTTTTGTATACATAAAGGGGGTTTAAATTTACGGATGGCAAGAGCTTCAATAAATTTAAGCACTCGGCTCTGACCACTTTTATGTAGTACTTTAAAGGCTGTTTTCATGTCTATCCTATGGTTAGTTTCTAGTATATGTTTAGCGATAGACGAAGATGGATGTTTGTCACCTGCACTTATCGGATCTGTTGAGGTCATTTGTTTTTGTAGCCACTTAGGTACATGTTCAGCCTTCCTTAACTGCATATCACGATTACTCCTCCCTATATATGTGTGTCCACACATACATGTAAATTGATAAACACAGTGGGATGTGATGTAATCGTTTATATGTTGTTTCGGTTTGTGCTGTAACATGGACTTGGTCTTCTCTACAATGATGACCTTAGCTGCATAATACGTTTTACAGATGGCCGATCTAAGTCTTTTCCTCACAACAAAGCTATGTGAATCACCTCTAAATGGTAATGAGATGTAGACATTTTTCTTAGCAACGGAACACTGTATACTTTTCAATGGTACATAACTTTTGCACCGGTCGATAAATCTCAACGGGTATCCATTCTGTATCAGAGTTGTCGTCAGTAAGTTGGCTTCTTCCTCCCTGGTGTCATCGGTGCAGATACGGTTTATCCTGTTGAATAAGCATCTGACTAAACCACGTTTGTATTGGACTGGACAATAGCTATGGAAATTAAGATATTGCCCTGTCCATGTAGGTTTCCTATAGATCGACCTCCTGATCGAGCCATCCTCCCGTCGACTGAGCAATACGTCTAGGAACGGTAGCTGGTTGTTCGTCTCTTGTTCATAAGTCAGGCTAATGTGATTCTGAGCCGTGTTCATTTTCTGTAGCAGGCACATTGCATCATCAGGCTTTTCACATATAATGACTATATCATCAACATATCTCTTATAAAGTGAAACCCTTCCAATGAGATCGTCAGCCATGTTTTCAACATATGACATGTATACATCAGCTAGCAACGGTCCTAATGGACTGCCCATCGCGACACCATCAATCTGTTGAAAGTGTTCGCCCTCGAATGTGAATTCAACTTTATCAGTGCATAATAACAATAAATCTTTTAAAAAATTAATAGGGATAGGGAATATAAGACTGTTAGAAGAAATATAGTCACATAAAATATCAATTGTTTTTACTAGAGGTACATTAGTAAATAAAGAATTTACATCAAACGAGTACATAGTCTTATCCTTGATATTAATATCATTTAAACAGTCAATAAGGTCAAATGTATCTTTCAATGAGGACTTACATAAATGGCTTCTGACAGGGTTCAAGAGCTTTGCCAACCATTTGGCTAGATTATGTGTGGGTGATCGACACATAGACAATATTGGACGCAGTGGGTTGTCAGGCTTATGAGTTTTAGGTAACCCATATAGATGTGGATGTTCAGATCCCATAGGTTTTAGACGATTAAATTCCTCCTTATTGATTAAATTCATACCAAGCATTTTCACAAGTTTAGAATTTACTCTGCCTTCCAATTTACGTATCCCCTCACAGGGGGCATCTGACGTAAATTTGCTTTCATCACTGAGAATAGATAACATCTTACTTTTATAATCAGACGTGTTCATAACGACCACACCTGATCCTTTATCGGGTTTTAGTACGACAATATCAGAGTTATTTCGTAATCCTTTCAGTGCTTGGAAATGCTCACGCGTTAAGATGCTTTTCTGTCTTGGACCAGGATTATGAAACCCATGGGCGATGTCTACTAATTTAGCTCTTAGCCAGTTCTCATTGTCTGGAGAAGTTGGGACAAGTGAGCTCAGTTGATCATACAGGTTTTCAAATTGAGCATCGGTTGTTAAATCAGAGTTTTGTGTTTGAGGGACAGAAAAACTGAACCCAAGGGAGAGCGCCTCTTTATCAAGAACAGATAACTGAACGGATGATAAATTCGTCACATAGTTGTCTGGGTTAACTGGGAATGAATTCACATGGTCGCTCGTAATCTGAGATTTGTTCAGCTTTGTCATCATCCTTTCTTTTGCTCTTATTATAACCGAGCTGCAAAAATTAACAAACTTGATGTGGCAAACTAAAGAAATTTCCGACAATACGGAAGATGCATGTACGTGACATCCGATTAGATTGTTCGAAATGTATAGCGCTAATACATCACATGTTTCAGATAATCTTCGTCTTCTCATTACGCTGTTTAAATTTATCAAAGGGACCAGTTGCTTTAAACCTTCAAATAGTTTAACGTACTTGAAGTACTACTTTTTACTACTTATGAGTAGTGTAATTAGACTGACCAAATTTCTTGTAGTAAAGCGACAAGGTTAAGAGGGATGCGAACTAAGTAAATCACTGCAACTTTCAACGAATTACAAGGAATATCGAAGGATGTTTTCAACTGAATAATCTCTATTAGAAACACTGACTTATAAGTTGTACAACAGGAGTTTTTCTGTAAACAAGCCTTACAAAATAGTACTATGCAACAATATGTCACTATTTTGTCGTATGGCTAATCTTTTTTACTAAAATAAAAATGGTCACTTGCAACTCACAACGGTAGCTGTGTGCTAAGTTTCAGGAAATTTTTGGTAGTATAAAAAAAGTGATCTTCACAGACGTAAGATTAGTATTTTTCCAAAATCAAGTGACTATTGATATCATCTATTTGTGTATCTGGTTGCTTAGCTTGTCTGTTGAGGTGTATGAAGCTGGTTTTAAGCACAACAACAACAACAACAAATGAAATTCAGAGAGCTGAAAACAGAAGCTTTACGTCGTGAGACATAGCTGGAATCTAGTGATTCAAATATTTCGTGTCAAACGACGGTGTTTGTTCCAACTCATTGTTTTGGTGAATCAATAAGTAGTCATGACTTTTAACTACAAGTTCAAATTTGACAAATGCTAGTAATTTTCAGTGGTTTGCCATATGATGCCACTTCTTAGTGAAGACTACTTCCACACTAACTGATTCTATGGAAATCCCTAAGGTAAACACAATCTAAAGATTGTTATCATCAATTCAGTTTACTCTTGATTGAATTCTCTATCATGGTGCATTTATTAATTTCTGTCACTGAAATCATGCTCTGGTTACACTGATTAGTAACAAAAGTATGTACAAGCCATATGTATATGATAATATAATGTAAATACATATGAAGAATCATTCTGTTATGTAATACTCAGAAAACGACAAGTGGAGAGATAGTAGAGGGGTTAATTTAACGTTTCGATATTCAATGTTAATGAAATTTCAAGCAAGGAATGATAGATTAGCCCACAAAAAGAGTTTTGTTTAAAACACAAACGGAAAGTCTATAATATTAAGGCCACTAATTAGCACAAATTACGCAGATAACAAGGACGTAGGGAAACGTGACAGAAGAAAAACTACCTTAAATGTAACAATTACCAAGAAAATATATGCCTTCTTCAACTGGCAACGCTTATAGACCACCAGTCGAGACAAGTTCCTGAAAACCAGTGCTATTAGGTTGTCAAAACATTTAATATTACCTATAAAGACCAACTTTTTTTTTCATTATCGAAATAAAATTAATATATGACTGATGAAGATGAGAAGAAATATGCAAATTATAATTGTTTACCTGAAGGATTTTTTGATTAAACTCTTTCGTAATTTTGATACATTCAGATTGGGCTTCTAGCGTCAATCGTCGAAAATTCCTCTGTTTCCATGTACACTCCATAAACTGTTTCCATTCTACTATTGCTTGTTTTAAAATATGCTGTTTGTAGTAACGATCAGCAAGTGCAGTGCAAAAATCCTTAGAATATAAGGAGGGGGTGAAACATTACAGAAGTTGTACAGAATTTATTTATCAAGACAGATTATTTGAAATTTCTTGGTCAGAAACCTTTTCGTTGAAAAGCTAGTCGATATCATCCATCATTATAGAAGTGATAGCAATCACAGCTTGTTAAGTGCTAAAAAAAATACTTGCTGACAAAGCTTGTTTGCAATCCAAGGGGAATTGATATCCCATGAAAGATTTGAACATGCACTACCTACTGTTGCAGTCTGGTTCAATTGTAACATTTCTAACTGTTAAAAATTCTCATTATGAATATTATAAAAAGACATATAAGCGAACAGTATTGTTTTCAATTAGATCTCAACATATTTTGTTAAACACAAGGTTTTATAAAAACGTCTTGGAAAAGTGTGGCTTGAAATACAAGATTTGTAAAACTCCAACTTCACCTTTTCAGATGCCGTTTTACACCTGAGGCTAACAAGTTCATTTAACCTTTTAATGGTGTGTGGCGGGAGCCTTCTTTTCAAGAATTTGAAACAATTAGTTTCTTTGATGAATTGTATTGAATTCTTTTATGTCATATTTGTCCTTCCCTCACTTCCAGTTTTCATATATATAATGACTTAAAAAGTGAATATGTGATTAGATTGTTCGAAATGTATGGCGCAAATACATCACATTTTTCAGATAATCTTTATCTTGTAATTACATTATCCAAATTCATAAAAGGGACTGATTGTCTCAACATATTTGTAAAATATCAACCAGTCAAGGTAATTTGTAAGATAACGACACCAAGGAATACGGATTGTAAAAAGGTTAATACGAATGTTCAGAATGACACGACAATGTAAACAGGTGTTCAGACATTGTAATGATACTAGTAATTTCTCGTTGCTATACAGGGCCGAATTGCTCGACCTCTTTTGGCAGATGGGCTCCTATGCAGAGGCCTCGATACTATTTATCATTCATGATTTTATATTGATTTCGGTGACTAGCAGAGGAATCCAGGAAGCGCATTTCGTTTTATTTGGGACTCGTAAGTTGGATCTACCTGCACCCCACTGAGTGATATTGCTCCTGCTGAGTCTCGAACTCAGTACTCTTTGCTCCAAGTGCAAGAGCGTTATCCACTAGGGCACAATAGCCACCTCTTGTGCAACGGGTGTCAGTTGTTGTAATGATATTTGCAATTTTCCGTTGCTATACAGGGTCGAAATGCCCGACTAGACGGATAGACAGACAAAATAGACCAGAGTGAAGAAAGACGATAAGGTTGTGTGATGATAGTGGAGGATGAAGGGGAGAGTGAATAAATAAATTTTGAATATGAATATAGTAGCGGGGTGAAAAGGGTGACAAAATGAAATAAAAATAAAAAGGGGGAAGAAATACATTTTTAAATTCATAAGTAAGGTCATTAATTAGGTTCTCCCTGGCCAAAGCGGGAATGAAGGCTCTACAAATTTCTTCTGAATACAGAGCCTTAGATTGTTCATTCGAATTCCTACAGCTTCAGCTATATGTAAAAGGCGGAGTTGAACTCCGTCGCTCGAAACGCTTTCATCTTATCCACTCTGTGATCGGTATGAATTAGATGCGACAAAACAGAGCTTCATATAGATTTAACGTATCCTTTACCCAACCATGAAGGTAGGTGTTCGGTAATATGTTGAGCAGGTTGCCTGGCTGTACACCTGATATAACTGTCTCCACAGGAGCAATTAAACTGGCAAATACACATTGAGGTGACGAAACTAAGTAACTTGTCCTTCGTTTGATACGAAACAAATTGACTAGAAAACGATAGGCAGAGATTAGCTGCCCAACAATTTCCTTGTAATGATTCTCGACAGTCTGTGGAATAGAATCTCACTAAGTACATCATCACTAAATTGTAGCTTTATGAACAGTGGTTTCTTTCAAATGGTTACTACTTCAGGTCTTTTCATCGGTCTATTCATATGTCTTTTTAAATAAAATTGTGAGGATATCCCATGCAATTAATGAATTCGAAATCAACTCTAACTCACTGTGTAGAGTGTCATGTAAGCAGATAGATTTCTAACTCCAGCATCGCGCGATGCAGATACATATGTCTAAGGGGATATCAGCTCTCTCAAGGCTGTATATCCACCTTGCAGATGAAAGCCAACAAGCCCGACACCTGGGTTGAGTAGGATGGTCTGACAGTTGCCTTCAAACAATCAAATTACATCATGATGGCGAGTCTTCTATCTTGGTGGCCACTTGGCAAAATGATCGATTGAACTCGGTCACCACTTAGGACTAGGTGGTATGAAGTTGTTTAACTCTCCCCTTCTAGTGACCAACTAGGGTGGATTTTTTTAAATGATTGTCTTTCATTCTGGTTCATTTTATCAACGTTATGCTCCGAAAGACGCTATGTGTGTTTTCATTTTGTAGTATCTAAAAATTCGTCATCTCCTAATTTCGACATACTACTTATAACCTATTACGAATATTTATCGTTTATTATGGGTTAATTTTACTTCACTGTTGAAATATTCATTGCTTCTTTCACGAATTTATTCTTGAGTTTGATCAGAGATATGTGAAAATGTGTAGAACCTCAAGGATTTTTTTTAAATATTTATTATTAGGCATAAATCATTATATTTTTTTTTACAGAAACCACTAATAGTCAAAATCTCCCAAAAAATAATTGTACCCAGTGAATAACCCTGGTTACTGGATGATATATTAGTTACGAAGAGAGATGTCAAACTGGGCCATGAAGTTTGTAAGTCATTTGCAAATTGACCATTCTAGTTAAGGTATACCTGTTCATACAAGTCAACTGGCTAGTTTCAGGTGGTTTGAACAATTCCGCTTTATAAGCTGGATTTGTCTGAGTACACCGTTGATGAACGCGACACCAAACGAGTGAGATAGCCGTCGGGTGCTTGGATCACTTTCATCTAGTTGATGAAATCTGCAGATCAGTCTGAGTATATTTCTAACTACTCAGGTTGTTCAGTAGTATATTTCATTAATGGTGATGTAATTGCTAAAATAAGTTTGGTTACTGAAAAGCAGATTGATAATGCTGAGAAATCCATCGAATTGCATTTAATGAAACTGGTAATATAAGGTTTAGAAAATGAATATGGTGACTTTTAATAAACATCAAAATCTAGTGTATAGTAAGTATTTAATCGTTTCGTGATTAATAGTGCTCTTCAGTCATCTTTAACTTTGAATGGTTTTTTTAATTTTTATTTCGATAATAATCATCTTGTTGATTTTTCTCCTCCATTCACTGAGGCAAAACTTAGTGAGCTAGAACCGATACGCAAGTAGTTCAAGAAATCACGTTGCTAGTATCTCAATATCTACCTTTCACAGCAAAGAGAAACAAAAAATGAAAAATCAAATGTTTTCATGAAAATAATTAAATTCAAATCTATTTTAAGTATTAGTAGAAGCTAAGAAGACTTTATATGAATTTAAACATACAAAAATACAACTAAAACTATAGTCCTTGTTTAACTAGCTATTTACTGAAAGATTGTCACTCATCTAAATCATAATGTAACAGTCAAAGGGATGGATACAATCCAGTCAGAATTTAGGACTAAACAACACGTAATTGGTCATTCTCCAGTGGCTAATTACTGTATCTAGTCCAGTCCCACAGGAGGTCAGACATCTTCCGAACGGGTGGGCGGTAACGTCTTTGACTTTAGGATTGAGTGATGCGGGTTCAGAACTATTAGGGGACATCAGTTCCTTTGAGATTGCAGGTGCGCATTGTTGATGAATGCCATTAGGTTTGAAACCTATGTAAAGCAGGGCTTCCAACTGAGTAGATCCAGCAGATTGATACTTAAAAAGATCCAAGAAACTGGAATTTATCATTTAGACAGATGAACGCAACGAAGTAAAACGTATAACAGAGTTTATTTGTCTTAGTTGCAGCAATTCATAGCTATACAGAATGCAAAAGTCAACATAAGTAGAAATATCCTATCGTAAGAATGTGTGAATGGATGGATAATAAACAAATTTAAAGTGATAATATGCCCAACAATCTCTGGTCGATTAGGAAAACAAATGAATGAACCAGTGCTGTTATGTTCTCTTTTGGGCTGTATCTCTAACATATGAAGAATCTCAGTAAGATCTAACTTTTGATTTGAATTAATGGTCAATGACTTCTTATTTCAGTATTTCTGCTACCCTGAGTCTATTACAGCCTGGTTAGGCTTCAAGCAGTAGACTTCTATCAGTATGGGGCGGTGACTAGATGCAAGAGACAATTAGTGCAACCTAAACATATTTATACCTCAAAAAACCATGCAAATGAACTCATTACCCGTATCAAAGACGAAACACAGTTTTAAGTCTACTGACTGCTAAAGGCAGAAGAGGATCTCTTAAAAATGCTGAAAAATTTGACAAAAATAAAATGAAATTACGCAAGAATTCAGTGTATACAATGAAATAGAAGAACCTACTTTTCTTTTAGTATTCTCTACCTTTAAATTGAGTTGCATAGTATGTTTCATTCTTTTTATTTCATCAGTTAAATCACTAATAACCTTATTCTTTTGTGCAATTGTACGTTCATGATTTTTTGCAAGATCCCGTAAACTAATCACTTGTTCCTGAAGTTTAATCATATCAGTTCTTATACTGTAATACAAAAAATAATTTAAGTAGGTAATCATCGCATGAATTTGAAGACTGTTCATTTCAGATTGACATCAGATGCATAGAACTAATAAACACTAATCAATACTAGACAGCTATGTTTCTTTCTTTACCTTATGACTGTTCAGTCATTCATCACATTCAGTATGTGTAGTTCATTCGGTTGAGAATTGAAAGTGTATATCTTTCAATGTTATTCAATGGTGATAACTCCAAGTTAGAAATGTCTAATTGGAGGACAATACCTAAATGACAGTTTATTCCCATAAAAAGGGATATAATAACTGACATTTAAATGAACAACGTATTATCTTTAAATAACTTCGACTTCATGTTCTACAGTCATATGCCTATACTGTCTAATTCTGAGTTAACAACAATCAGATTCCCTACAATAGTTCGTTAATAATATAATAATATAATATAATATAGTCTGGGGATTTAATCTTATGTGCTCATGAACACCTCTCAGTGTGTGATGAAGACAATTAACAGCTTTATAATAAGAAATTCAGTTCAAAACGAACTATACAGTGAAACTGCATACGTCATTTTCCATTATTTACTGATTTCCCATCAACTTGCAAACGGGTACCAGACTCCAAATTCTTCAGACTGTGTCTCAGCTGTAAATACTTAGGGATTAACAAATTTTTAAACCCCCTACCCCATATAACCTAATTTTAAAATTCCCTATTGTAGATATCCCCTCATCCCTATAATGTGAATTAATTTTATAACTTTCTCTTGGTCTACTGGTTGTTTCCTGACATAAGAATCGTTTATATAATCAATTTGGAATAGAATTCTAGTAGTAGTTAATTGTGACTACCGTTCCCATGGGACTTTTTTAAGACATTTTCAATATTATTATTACTATTACTGTAGTTCGAGGTTTGTGGGGATTTTATTTCAAGGTAGTATTTATCGTGGACTGATATCAGTCGGAGAACCATTGGAAACCTAAGAGCACTGCGTACCGACTTCATCCTAGTATGTAACTCCTCAGCAGCCGCACCCGCGACCCTACCAGGGATCGGTCACAGGACCTTCAGGTCTCGTTGCCGACGCGCTAACCATTAAGCCTCTGGGTTTGAGTTCAGTGGTCGATAGTTTCTTTAATCTGTCAATTCATGATATAACTAGACTACTCACCAAGATCTTCAGTTGGTATCCATTTTACCTCTGACTGGTTATTCCTACAGATCATGGCTTCTCAGTAGAACTTTGGGTTATCCATATAGAAGCATATCACTAATAAGCACTACACAGTAATGCAGTCTGAGGTCTACGGGTTTTTTAATTCAAGGTGGTATTCATCACGGATAGATAGATATCCCTAAGTTCTAATGAGAAACCATGACCTGTGGCATCAACCAGTCGGAAGTGAAGCGCATATCAAATGAAGACCTTGGCGGATATTCGCACCATGTCACAAATTGACAGAGACTGGAGATTGAGATGAACTCTAACCCAGTGACTGAATTATTATTATTGCTACTATTATATAGACAATTCGAAACATAATTCGGCAATTTAAAGATGATTCGATTACTCATCAGGTGATCTTCAACAATGAATTCAGGCAAGTTAGACGCAAGTTTGTGTACCAGGCTATGACCCATAACTGTGATATAGTTGCCCACATAGGTGGAGCAAAGTTTGAACCTGTGACTCCTTAACTGAAAATTGTGATGTCAAACCCAGTCAGTTACAAGCCAGTAAACTGATTTATCAGAACAATTTCTTGTGGAAGCAGTTCACTTGAAAAGTTAGTATATTGACAGTGAAGATGACGAAATCTTCCTTTGAAGGTTTATGAAAGCCATGGGCATGGATATTCCCCATACCCATGAAACTATGAGAAAATGAGTTGTTATTCAGTTTCTTATGTAATATACCTGTTAACTGCCTGTAAAATACAGTGACTCTTTCTATTGCCTATATCATACTCAATGAGATTCCTACTGAATAATTGACTCTACTCGTCTCTCCCCGAAATCTTTTCCTCCACCTGCTAACGAGCATAATATTGTCTTCCCCTACATCAAATTCTTCAGATCTTGAAACTTAGATTTCCCATTGCATTCTTCGTTTCTTTCAACCATTTTACATCAATTAGTAGTCAACTAGATAGCTTGATAAAGGTGTACACTAGAAGAACATAGGTGTTAGGTAAACAAAAATATCGATTGTAGTAGTGATAGTAATGATAATGATAACAATGAGAATATGAATACTGAAAAGATTGAAAATTACGTCACTTTGAAACAAGATAAGTGAAGATCAATTAAGAAGTTTGGTAAGTATGAAACTGAAGGAGGCTAGAGTGATAGTTGAACGATAACAATGATAATAACGATGGAGATAAGTCATTTGACTGATAAGCGAAGAAGTTCAAGAGGACATGATAGCACAGCAGAATGATAGTGAAGAGGTAAATATGCGAAGTATAGGAAGGAATAAAGTGAAAAAAACAAGACATAAATAAGAATGAAAAATTTCAAAATACTTCAACACCTCTACGATAGCAGATTCAGGGTGACCACCATCTCTTTCTGTACATATATGCTCGGTTTACGAACTCTAATCGCACATGCTCCCACAATTGCATTTTCTTATTCCGCTGTCTGCTGACAACCGAGAAGGCTTTAGTGGTGTCAAAATCATATCGATAATCCATTAGGTGTTTCGTAATGGAACTCCGTGGGATTTTTGACTCAGCTTGCCTCAGCCATTTAGGTAAATGCTCAACCATGTGAGTAGACAGACACCTTTCCGTACGACCTATCGATTTGCTTCCATAAGTACATTCAAAGTGGTATATACAGTTAGATATGTTGAAGAATGAAGTCATCGCTGTTCCTGATTGCTGAAACACCCGCCTGGTTGCTCTCAGAAGTACTAGCTTAGCTGCATAACAAGTTCTTTTGAAGGCCTTGTCTATTCTCCACTTAGCGACTTCCAATACATTATTATGATTTGTCCCTTGGGTTCCTAATGGAACATAGGGCTTCAGTAGCACGTCTCCAGTAAACTCTGTTCGCCGAAATCTTTTCAACCTGCCACCACGACAACCTACAAGCTCTCATTTCCTCCTAGCACGATCTCCTCTATGTCACACTCAGACTCCCAACTCGTCGCTTCCCATGGAGATTCCACTTGAGGGCCTGATGCGTGATGTCCCCAGTCGGCCTTCTCAGTGTATGCCCAATCCATCTCCACTTCCTTCCAGTGCATATTTGTTCAGCGATAGACTCTTGGTTGGCTCGTTGACAGCCACAGTTCCCTGTTGCCCATTCTTTCTAGCAATCTGATCTTCAGTAACGAGCCAGCGTAAGCAGTTGTTGATGAATGTCTGTAGTTTGTTGGAAATCCCTTTCGTAACACGCCAAGTCTCTGAACCATACAGAAGCACTGACTTGATTGGATTGCTGTTAAAAATCCGGATCCTGTTCACGCTTTATGCTGAGTGCAGAAGATCTCCACACTGCTTTCAGGCTAATCAACACCTGTCTTGCTGTGTTTCCGATTCTGACTTTAACATCCTCGTCTGTGCCTGTGCCACTGCCTGTAGTTGAAACAGTGCTGCCTAGATAGGTGAAGGAGGTTACTTCCCTCAGGGTTTCTCCCGTTCATGGTGATTGAAGTTTGTTGTTGTTGTTGTTGTCATTGTTGGTTGGGTATCTTCATCACCTCTGTCTTCTCTATATTCACTGAAGTCCCGTCTCCCCTCGCTGCCCTGCCCTGCCTCTTCTGTCAACTTGTTAGGTTTCGCCTGTAGATCTTAAAGTTTGTGTGACATCAGACACAAGTCATCACTGGCGAAATTCAAATCTTCTAGGATCTTTTCCCCAGTCCAGTGTATACTCCTCTTCTCGCTCCTCACAGTTTGTTGAATGGTCCAGTCGACCACAATCAGAAATATCATGGATGATAGTGGACGGCCTTGTTTCACTCCTGTCTTCACTTCACCTCAGAGGCATCACTGAGCTTCCCATTGTGAATTACTTGGCATATGGCGTCTTCATATAGTTGTTGAATGAGGTTGATAAAGGTTTGCTGTATTCCATAGTATTGAAGCAGTTTCCAAATTACCTCTCGGTCGACGCTATCAAAGGCCTTCTCAAAGTCGATAAAGTTGAGGTAGAGAGCTGACTGCCATTCTATACTCTGTTCTATGATGATGCGAAGCGTTGCAATTTGGTCTGCACATGATTAGTACTTCCTGAAGCCAACCTGCCTGTTCCGGTAGTAGTTTTGAATCCAGTGCATACTTTAGTCTCTCCGGGATGATGCGGCTTAATATTTTGCTTGCTCTGGGTGGACAGGAGAGTGATTCCGTGCCAGTTCTTGCAAACACTGAGGTCTCCCTTCTTCGGCAGTTTGACAATGTAACCCTTCTTCCAATCAATAGGCAGGTACCTTCTCTTCCTTCCACACCTTCTGCAATAGTGGTGTGAGCATGTTCGCTGTTGTCTCTGCATCTGTTCTCAGTGCTTCTGGCGGGATTCCATCTGGTCCTGCTACTTTCCCACATTTCAGTAGCTTTATGGCGTTCAGGACTCCCACTTTTGTTGGAGGATTTATGTTCACTTGTAGTTCTGTGGCTGGGCTGCAGGTGGTATTTGTGGACGAAGTGCAGGTGGTGGTCGATTCAAGAGCTTCTTGAAGTGGTCGGCCCATCGGTTCCTTTCTTTCTCTTCTTTCGTAATTGAATTTCCGTCATCACCTTTTATTGGTTTCGTCTGCGCTGGTCTCTTCCCAGATAGAGTAACCTGGTTATCTGATACAATGTTGTCAGGTCTCTATCTCTCCTACCTGCAGCCTGTTCTGCTTCACTTCCCAGTGTTTCGTGGAAGTGCTTTTGTCTTTGTGTGCACTCTTCTTCACTTCTTTGTCCCGTGAAGTGTTTTATACATTGTACTCAGTTCCTCTTGTCGTTGAGCATCCTTGCACTGCATTGGTTTATCTTCTACTTC